GCCACATGTTGCGAGGGGTTGCAACACAAACGTCAGGCACACTTGAAGCAAAACAATTGCAAACTCTGGTTAGACATCAAAGTATTCGACTTGGTCGACACCAGGAAACTCCATGTGAGAAACTGGGTAACCAGAAGATGGGCCTTAACCATCAAACGAGACAAGAAAGGCAAGAGACTACAGCACGTTGGGTGCTTAGAGGTTTTCAAGATCGCCAAAGAAGGAAGCACAAACGGACAGCCCAGCACCTTCAAGAAGCGGATTCAGATTAGCCGTTCACACGGTCTTTCCCACACGGTGAAGACTATGACAAAACCTGAGACATAATCTGCCAGCTTCCGCCAGAAATGGGTTCTCCCCCACACATCGGCGTCGGAGCCCGTGTGAAGAAACCTGCCTGCGGACCCAACGATGCGCCAAGGCGGCGGTGGACATTTCTTGATTCGGCGCTGCGGTCGGCCTTGCGGCCAGTAGGGTGTCATTGGTTATCTCATGGACCCAGTCTCCAGGCAATACGCCCCATGTCCCTACACGCAGACAATTTTGTCATGGCAGGTGACGCTACCTTTGAACAACAGGTGATTGGCAAGATGGACAGCGAATCCTGGGAAAAATGATCCACAGAACGAAGATTACATCAATGTTCACCTGGGCTGAAGGCAGAACCAAATTTCACGTTTGTTACTAGTTTTCAACACGTGCATCAAAGGCCTCATCTCCCACGATTGGTGATTGGTGATGTTATACATCTTTTCTGAAACTCATAAGATCACTGGAACTACCATGTCCAACACTGTGGCTGAGTTGCACGGACTGGTGCGATGCTTCGGCGCGTCTCTTTTCATTCGAGGACGCTGGTCCGACACATCTGGCGAACTTGCAGATGTCCACGCTGCATTAGCAACAGAAGGAAAGCACGCGCCTCATCCAAATGCTTTGCACCCCCTGAGCCGGAGACAAGCTGATCTTCTCTAAGACCAAAGTCACCACCCCCAAAACATCCCCAAAAACCACTTTGTGCTCAGGAGACCCTACAGCTGCGTGGCCCTTAGAATAGTGAGCCCCGGTGCCTCGTGGCTAAAAGCGGGGAACTTTTTTGGTCAACAGCTACTGCCCCCAACTACCCCCAAACTGGGGGGGTAGTGGTATGATTCATGTTTTTCACAAGCGTGCCAGGTGATTTGTGACTACCTCGCCAGTTCCCTACCCCAAATGTTTTGGGACTCTGCCGGAGTTTTGGGATGCGGCGGTCCCTCCAAAGCAAACCAAACTGGCTCCTAAGAAACCTTAAGCAAAGATACCGGCGCAAACCAAGCGTTGACGTTCACAAGTGTCACCGTGAAGGCTGGTAGCAACAAACCCGGAAATACCTGCACAAATTGGGGCGCCCTCGCAAAACACTTTCCTACCCCTGTTCCAAACCTTGTATAGCCTTTATGAGCCCTTAGATTTTCGAGGACGTCGCCACCACCCCCGGGTATGGAGCCGTCCGGCTCCAATTGCTTACTTGGCGCGCTCCACAGGCCAGGTGCTCTCACCACCAACTCCGCCCGTGGAGGAACTCCTTGCAGTCTCCAAATGTCCTAATAAGGCCTTGATGCCTTTCGAGTCCGCTGAATTGCTGACGCTCGCCGCTCCGAGCCTTGGGGTTGTGCCTCCCAGTCTCGTCGCAGCTCTCCATTTCTGCCTTGCCTCCTGCGCGCATCCATTCGAAATGGTCAATCTCGGGGTTGGTGATGTTTCTACCCTGCTCACAGATGTCGCACGAAACAGCAGAGGTTTCTGCCCTTCTTGAGACTTCTTGATCTGCTCCGTCAACGGTTCGTTTAGATTCGCGAGAACTTGATCCCATTGAATGAGAGGCACTAATCCTAGGGCTGGACAGCTCAATCCAGTCCTCGCTCGTTCAACGACGGTTGGGGGCGCATCTGGTTATCACGACCCAAATTGCAACGCCGCCACGAACAAAGGCGCGCAACTTGTAAGTACACAAGTAGTACTCGAAGTGCACTCCCGCAGCTCCGGCTGACAAAGCGCAAGTTTACGTACCAAAGTAGTACGTGAAGAGCATTTGCAGACGCACGGCTGCGACATCGCAATTGTAAGTACACAAGCAGCACGCGAAGTGCCGCGGCTCCGTCGGCTGCAAATTATAAGTACAAAAATAACGCGGGAAGCGCGCTCCCGCAGCTCCGGCTGACAAATCGCAAGTTTTAAGTACCAAGGTAGTACGTGAAGAGCATTTCCAAAGGCATTGTAAGTACAAAAGTAGAAGCTGAAAATTCGCGAGTTTGAAGTACAAAAGTACGTGAAGAGCTTTCAGAAAGCTCCGGCTGCGAAATCGCAACTTGCAAGTGCAAAAGTGGTGCGCGAAGTGCGCTCCCATGGCTCCGGCCAAAGTTCTACGTGAAGTGCGTTCCCGCAGCAGCTCCAGCTCCGGCTGCGAAGTCGTAAGTGTTTTCGCGCAAAGGTAGCAAAGGTAGCGCGCGCAGCGCGCTCTCGCAGCTCCAGCTCGAACATGGCAACTTCCATTTTTAAGCGCAAAAGTCATGTTCTGCGCTCTGGCATCTCCAGCTCGAAAATCGCAACTCGCAGGCGCAAATGTAGTGTGCCAAGTAAGTACACTTCTGCAACTAAAACCGCCAGCCTTCTTGCGCAGCCAAACTGCACGCAGATATGGACAAGAGAGGTTGGCAAGAGAAAGGGACTTGAAAGGTTGGGCGAGAGGTTGCGCAGCATCATGCGAGAGAGGGACCGTCACGCATAGCATCCTGCGCAGCAATGAATCATGCATGGCGTCGCGCGCGGCGTCACATGCAGCACCGTCACATGGCATCATGCCTGCGCGACATCACGCGTAGCTTCATGCGCAGCAGCGTCAAAACACAGCGTAGCGCGCAAGAGAAGTTGACAGGAGAGATGTTCCCGAAGCGCGGCGCCAAGCTTGCTCATCAGAACTTGCAGAAGCTACGAAGGGACATTGATGTTATCACGCTTGTTTCTGACCTGCAGCGGGAGAGGTGTCAGACTTTATTTAACGTCAACTTAAACCCAATACTATTTGCGGTCTCTTGCCGGGATCATGCTGTTTACCCCAGGGCTTATCTCTAAACGCCTCTTTCTTCTTTTCTTTGAAGACTGCAACGGGCTCCCTGTTGAACCTCCAGGGCCAAGCGCTTATATGCTTCGAAGGGAAAACCCTGCTCAGCATCAAGTACAGATTTCATGGCAGGCGGAGCGCTTACAGGTCGTGGCAAGCGGAGCCTGGGTAGATAGGTAGATAGAAGAACTGAAGTTTGGACACACAAAGGAGAGATCAGATGGATAGGCAGATAGACACGTCGATAGATCGGCAGACACTTCTGGACAGACGCCTTCATTGACAGACAGATAGTTTGCTATAAGTAGACAGATCGCTGGATAGAGAGGTAGATAGACTGTTAGCTTGATAGATGTATAGATTGACAGACAGAGAGATAGGCAGAGGTAGTTTAAAAAATAGAGAGATGAAGACAGTAAGGTAGATCGATAGATAGACAGGTAGTTCCATATAAAGATCGTTAATCCCTTCCCCCTAATGCTAAACGTCCCCCCCCCCGTAATACTAAACGGGTCCTTCGCGGAAAAAAACGGTTTTAGTATTAGGGGGTCCCCGGCTTTGTTTTCGCAAAGCCTTGGGAGACAAATAATGAGTCGAGTGTTGTATTTTTTGTGTGGAGAGAGAAATAAAGAGAGAGAGGGAAGGAGACAGCCATGTTTGTACTTGCCAGCGTGTTGCGCAAGTGTTTGACTCTCCGCAGCCAGCAAGCCAGCAAGCCTCCCGTAAGACAGCCGCCGGAAGCCAGACAGCGCAAGATGGCCGCTAGGCAGCAAGTTTTAGACCGAATGTTGCTTTTAGACGGTCAGCGTGCAGGCAGCAAGGTAGGGTCTGGAGCCCCTTGGGTTTGTTCCCTTTGGTTTCGTTTCGGGAGGCAGGCCAGGCAGGGGGACCCTAATACTAAAAACGCCAAGCAAACCAACTAAAAACCTTCAAGTCTCTTTTAGTTGGTTTCAGGAAAAAAGGCCAGCAGGGAGAAAGACCCTTCTAGCACCATTGGAATTGCTTGGCCTTGACAAGTTTTGTCAGGCAGGAAGGCAGGCGGGCGGCAGCCAGCAGTGCTTCCTTGCAACGGCTGGCTGGCTGGGCGGGCGCAGCCAGGCAGAATCAAAGGATGTTTTTGTAGTTGTTTCTAGGGGGTGTTTGGGACAGAGCCTGCCCAGCCAGTCAGTGAGCTCGTAGGCAGGCCAACTGGCAACAAGACAGCCAGCTACCCGAGCCACCTGCGCAAAAAAGGCAGCAGCGGTCAAGGTTTCCCTTTTTGAACAAATGTGGTTTGAAGGATTGAAGGGTCCCCTAATTGGGGTGGATTTGGGCACGGGCAGGGTACTTCCCACTTTAGAATTGGTTTTGTATTTGCTATTCGAAAAGTAGTCTTCCCGGATTTGGGATTCTCCAAAACCGGTTTTAGTATAAGGGGACTGTTTAGCATTAGGAAGAAGGGATTATGTAAATAGAAAGAAAGAACACAGAAAGAAAGAGAGACAGAAGTACGTACAGAAAGAATGCAAAAAGAAAAGAACGAAAGCAAGGGCAAAATCAAGGAAGAATAAAGAAACACCGAATGGAAAGCAATCGAACAAAGAAAAAAAGAAAAATGAAAGAAACGAAACAATGAAAAGAAGGAAGGAAAGAAAGAATAATAGCAAATTAGTAAGAAAAGAAAGCGGAGATTACTGTGCTTTGTTTCGTTCTTCTGCTTTGCCGGTTTTACTGGCAAGCCAGTTTGATTTTGGCAGTGGCCGAGAAGCGGTCGCGATGATGATAGACGCAGAGGCACACGCATTGCAAGAACCAGGGGGGATGCGTGCGCCAAGAAGGGACGCGCGCGCCAAGCACACCCACATTCCGACGCCCGAGCTGCTAAGCAGGTGCTTTTCAAGGCGTCTTTTGTTCTCGCAAGGTGAGAACCCAGATGCTGGACAAGGACAGAATTGCCTTGTCGCCGGCCACAGGTGACGGGAAGGAGAAGCGGATTAAGGGGGTTAAGCTTGATTTAAAAGTCTACATGGGAATGCTCCAAATATGGATCAGCAAAGAAAATAGGGTAGGCCGTTTCTGTGCAGTATTCCTTTCAACAACCCACGCATTTTCTTTTGCACACAAGCGGAGATTTCCCCAAGAAGGGCCGTAGCCGCGGCCAGCAGAGTTCGGGTCCTGCGCTTCGAGTTCCGAGCGCTCATTCCCACAGCTTTTGTTCAGAACCCTCTACAGAAGCACGACTTGTTTCAAAGTGGCAGCCCCCGAAAAGAATGGCTGGCTCCCTTTGAGATTCTTTCGCGCGACTAGATTATCCCAGGCCAAAACACCCCAACAGTCGTTCCAGACCACACACATTAATGTGAAACACATGCGGGCTTCAAGCGGACACGGGGCCTAGTCTCGAGAATCATTTAGAACTCTGATTTTGCACGGCCCTTGCGCGTAGGACATTTCTCGCGAGAGTTTCTGCAGCGTGTCCATCTACTACGGGCCGTTTCCAAGCTGGACTTCTTGAGTCTTGCGGCGGCTTGTTTGTTTTTGCTGATGAGCTTTATTTCTGCAGGCAGGCCTTGGTCTTCAGCAATTGTTTCCTTGAAGCTGTCTCCTGAGGGAACCGCCTGTAATGAAGACCACAAAAAAAACCTGTTGGCAAAAGGATAGCGTGCGAGCAGTGAAGGAAAAAGAGAATACGGCGCAGCTTTGTGCATTTAAGGCTACCAAGAGGCGACACACTTCTTCACACGGTCCAGGCCCGATGCGGTTGTTGCGTTTGCCCGAGCAGTCATTGCGCGGCTGGACGCACGCGAGCCCTTTTGGGAATTCACTATGGGTATGTCTATGTCTCGAAACGGAGGGGCCCCTGCAGAAATGTTGGGTGTGAAATGAGCCAGCAAAGGGCGCTCTCTTTAATGCCGGCGCCGTTGTTTGAGCTTTCCTTCTGAGCTGCAAGCAAAATGACACAAGTTCGTTCCGAGCACAGGGTTGTTTTTTGTGGAGTTGGATTCTCAGCCCGGCTAGCTCCTGCAATTTCAAAGCGGGGGTTGTGCAGGTTGCGCAGCAAGTGCTGGCTGACAGCACGCCTGCGTCCCCACGAAGGAGCTGAACGGATGGTGTGGGGCGGAGGGCTTTTGGAAGTTTCGGGGGTTTTGGAGCCTGGGTTTGGTTTGGAGATCGCGTTGGGTGGAAATCTCACACCGGGGCCAATTACCTGGCATGGTTTTGTTGCTGAGAGGAAACGTATATTTGTTGGCCGCAAGTTGGTTCGCCCGACATGCCCATCCAAGGCTTCAGGAAGCGCAGGAACCCGTGGGGCGGGGGGAGGGGGTGGGGGTCCTGTTTTTTTCAGAGCGATTGACCCGCAATCTTGCCTACCGCTGGGTCACCCTGCGGTGTGCGCTGATAGATTCGCATTGAGAACATTGAGATAGGATCTGCAGGCGCGCGCTTCACAGTTCCTTCATGCTTCTTCTTCTTCTTTTGTTGGCCGCATGTTGGTCTTAGACGTGGCAGTCAAGCCGGGAGAGCTCTCTCGATCTATGTTCTGGAGCCTGGAGAGCACGAGGCGAGGACGGACGGGAACGAGGGCGGGTTCTCAAAGATGAACAAGCACTTGCCGCCAATCCGGCCAAACCCACATCGTGATGACGGCCAGCCACGATGCTTGTCAGCCTATCGACATTTCTGCCATTGATAAGAAGTTGATTTACGATGGCGCAACTCACGGAGCGAATCTTTCAGTCGCGACAAGTCAAAGCTTCCTAGCCACTAACCCTATCGTGGGCAACGGACGCACAAAGTGTGTGGGAAGCTTGTGTGCGATCCAGCGTTTTACGTAGGAGGTCGACCTACCCAGAACCAACATCGACATCCTTCGAAGACTCCTCTCACCTAGGGTGAAGCATTCGCAGAGTCGCCCTGCGCGAAACCTTTCGCGCCTGCACAAGGCCCACGCAGCCTGCCATCAGGGCCAGCTGGGGAGTCCAAAAAAAGGGTATGGCGCCGCCAGATCGCATGGGCCTTGTCCCTTGTTGGAGCTGCGTTTCCTTTGGCCTTCGCGTTCAGGTTCCTCTGTGTTCAAATCAGGGCGTCGACTTGTAGGGGAAGGTGCGGCCAATTTCGCGGGTTCCCTGCAAGGATTTATGTACGGATGGTGTAGCAAATCGAGAAGTGCAACATGCGCGTGACAACAGCGCTTTTGCTTAAAGGAAAAAAGCTGCAGAAGATGGACCAGCGCCTATGGATGTTGGAGCGATTGGGAAAGGCAAAGACAAGAACAAGGGCAAGACCAAGGGCAAGGACAAGGGCAAGCCGAAGAGCAAGTGCGACCGCGATGGCAAGGGCTCAACGTTTGGCTCTCGTTCTTGTTCGTTCCTGTAGCTTAGCGCTTCCTGTCGTTGCTGTTCTTGCTGTTCTCAGTTGTTAGCTGTGTGACGTTTGTGCGTGTTGTTTGCTGTGTGTTGTTCGTATGTTTGTTCGCTTGCTTGCTTGCTTGCTCGCTTGCTTGCGTGTTTGGTTGGTTGGTTGGTTGGTTGGTTGGTTGATTGATTGATTATTTGACTGATTGACTGATTGATTGGTTGACTGACTGATTGACTGGTTGAGATTTCGTTCATTCACTCGCTCATTCATTCGTTCATTCATTCATTCATTCATTCATTCATTCATTCATTCATTCATTCATTCATTCACTCCTTCAACCATTCATTCATTCATTCATCCATTCATCCATTCATTCATTCACTCATTCATTCATTCATTCATTCATTCGTTCATTCATTCATTCATTCATTCATTCATTCATTCATTCATTCATTCATTCATTCATTCATTCAAGCATTCATTCATTCATTCATTCATTCATTCATTTATTCATTCATTTGTTCACTCAACCAATCAATCAATGAATGAATCAACCAGTCAATCAATCAATCAGTCAATCAGTCAATGAACCAACCAGTCAATCAATCAGTCAATCAATCAATGAACCGACCAACCAATCAATCAATCAGTCAGCCAATCAATCAACCAATCAATCAGTCAGTCAGTCAGTCATTTCATGCATGTTTTTGGGTATTTCGTTCCATTCCGTTCTATTCCATTCCATTCCTTCAGTCATTCATTCATTCATTCATTCATTCATTCATTCATCTGTTGGCTCGTTCGTTCATCCATTGTTGTCGTTGTTGTTGTCGTGGTTGTGGTCGTGGTCGTATTCGTCGTCGTCACGGTTGCTGTTGTTGCTGTTGTTCTTGTTGCTGCTGTTGTTGTTGTTGCATTTGTCGTTGTTGTTGTTGTTGTACGGTTGTTTATGTTGTTGTCGTTGGTTGTCGATTGTGGTTGCCGTTGTTGTTGTCGTTGCTGTCGTAGGCGTTCTCGTGGTTGTGGTAGCAGTAGTAGTAGTAGTAGTAGTAGTAGTTGCTGTTGTTGTTGTTGCTGCTGTTGTTGTTGTTGCTGTTGTCGTTGTTGTTGTTGTTGTTGTTGTTGTTTGTGTTGTTCTTGTTGTTGCCGTTGGTTGTCGATTGTGGTTGCCGTTGTTGTTGTCGTTGCTGTCGTAGGCGTTCTCGTGGTTGTGGTAGCAGTAGTAGTAGTAGTAGTAGTAGTAGTAGTAGTAGTAGTAGTTGCTGTTGTTGTTGCTGCTGCTGTTGCAGCTGTTGCTGTTGTTGTTGCTGTTGCTGTTGTTGTCGTTGTCGTTGTCGTTGTCGTTGTCGTTGTTGTTGCTGTTGCTGTTGTTGTCGTTGTCGTTGTCGTTGTCGTTGTCGTTGTCGGTGTCGGTGTCGGTGTCGGTGTTGTTGTTGTTGTTGTGGTTGTTGTTGCTGCTGTTGCTGTTGCTTTTGTTGTTGTTGTTGTTGGTGTTGGTGTTGGTGTTGGTGTTGTCATTGTGGTTTTGGTTGTGGTTGCGTTTGGTGTTGTCGTTGTGGTTGTGGCTGTTGTTGGTGTTGTTGTTGCGGTTGTTGCGCTTGGTTGGTGTTGTTTTTGTTGCTACTGTGTTGTTGTTCGTGCGTGTTTTGTTTTTGGCTTGCTGTTTGTTGATTCTTTTTGTTGTTGGTTGTTTTGTTTTTGTTGTGTTTTGATTGTCACGTTGTCTGTTGTTTGTTGTTTCTATTAGGTTTATTTGTTTGACTGTTTGCCTGCTCGCTTGCTTGCGTGTTTGTTTGTTGTGTGTTAGTTGTTACGTTGTGTGTTGTTTCGTGTTTGTTTGTTTGTTTGTGTTTGTGTTAATTTGCTTGTTGTACGGTGTTTGTTGCTTGCTGTTTGCTGTTTTGTGTTTGCTATTTATTCATTCTGGCTGTTGCTTTTTGTTCCCCAAATAGTGTTTACACTAAGGGGTTCTTACGGTAAGAGTTAAGGCCTGGTGGAGGTGTCGGCTCAAATTGCTGGCCCTGTGCGTAAAAAGTTGTCTTCGATGCGACAGTCTCGCGCGAAATGGAGGTACGTGGCGCCGTGCGAACTTGTCTTGAGCTCGGCGAACCCTCTGCGGAGATTGTGCGCGTCGAAGCGCTCTCGCTGTGGCGCCGTGCAAATGTGTCTTGAGCTCGGCGAACCCTCTGCCGAGATTGTGCGTGTCGAAGCGCTCTCGCTGTGGTGCCGTGCGAATTTGTCTTGCTCGCGGGGAACCCTTTGCGTAGATCCTGCGTATCGAAACGCTCTCGCTGTGGTGCCATGCGAATTCCGTTCGATTTGTCTGCTTTCCTTGCTTGCGAAGCGGTGTCTGGAAGTTGTCTCGTGGTTTGCGCGTTTGCTTTCACGATCGCACGCTGTCTCGGGCTCCACCTGCCTGGTCCGCGGCAGCTCCGGCTTGAAAATCGCAACTTTTAATTACGAAAGTAGTACGCGAAGAGCATTCCAGAGCTCCGGCTGCAAAATCGCAACTTCTACGCGCAAAAGTAGTACGCGAAGTGCGCTTCCGCAGCTCCGTCACGAAATTTGCAAGTTTCAAGTACAAAAAGTATTATGCGAAGCGCGCTCCCGCAGCTCCGGCTCAAACATCGCAAGTTTTAAGTACAAAAGTAGTACGTGAAGAGCTGTCACAGAGCTCCGGCTGCAACATCGCAAGTTTTAAGCACAAAAGTAGAAATCGCAACTTTTAATCACCCAAGTAGTACGCGAAGAGCATTCCCAGAGCTCCGGCTGCAAGATCGCAACTTCTAAGCGCAAAAGTAGTACGCGAAGTGCGCTTCCGCAGATCCGGCACGAAATTCGCAAGTTTAAGTACAAAAAGTAGTATGCGAAGCGCTCTCCCGCAGCTCCGGCTGACAAATCGCAAGTTTTAAGTACCAAAGTATAAGTACGCGAAGAGCATTTCCAGAGGTGCGGCTGTGAAATCGCAACTTGCAAGTACAAAAGTCACGCGAAGTGGGCTCCCGCAGCTCCGGCTGAAAATTCGCAAGTTTTAAGAACGTGAAGAGCTTTCACAGAGCTCCGGCAGAAAAAAATCGTCGCACGTTTAAGTGCACAAGTAATACGTGAAGAGCTTTCACAAAAGCTCCGGCTGCAAAATCGCAACTTTTAAGCGCAAAAGTGGCGCGCGAAGTGCATTCCCGCAGCTCCGGCTGCAAAGTAGCAACTTTCAAGTGGCAAAAGTAGTGTGCGAAGTGCGTTCCCATGGCTCCGGCCAAAGTTGTACGCGAAGTGCATTCCCGCAGCAGCTCCGGCTGCAAAATCGTAAGTGTCTACGTGCAAAGGCGAAGCGCGCGCTCGCAGCTCCAGCTCGAACATTGCAACTTCAGTTTTCAAGCGCGAAAGTAATGTTCGGAAAGTGCTCTCTCGCATCTGCAAAAGTAGTATGCCAAGTACACTTCTGCAACTGAAACCGCCAGCCTGCTTGCGCAGCCAAACTGCACGCAGATATGGACAAGAGAGGTTGACAAGAGAAAGGGACATGAAAGGTTGGGCGAGAGAGGTTGCGCAGCATCATGCGCGAGAGGGACCGTCACACGCAGCATCATGCGCAGCATCATGCACGGCGTCGCGCGCAACGTCGCACGCAGCGTCACGCGCAACATCCATGCCTGCGCAGCATCATGCGCAACAGCACGCGTAGCTTCACGCGCAGCAGCGTCAAAACACAGCGCCGCGCGCAAGAGAAGTTGACAGGA